CCTTTTTTCTTAGCTGCTTTAGTTTTATTTAATTTAATTTATTTTAGTTAGTTCCAGAAGCGCAGACTATTTTATTTTATATAAAGTTTTTACGTTCCCTATCGATATTGGGAAGTGATAAATGGAGTTTAGGTGTAAATCATCGGCAGAGGCAGATATTCTTGGCTTGTAGTCTTATTCTGTGCAATTCTACCTAAACTCCGTTGATTGTACAGTATGATTGTAACATGTGTGACCAGCTGTACATTGTCTTGGACTTTACCACGATTGCTAAGCTCAAACCTTGAAAATCCAAATCTGAATCCAAATTAATTTACAAGTTTCCCTCCTGATGTGTTTTGGACAGCATTCACTGCGTGCACCATTCTCCTGCCTTCATTGCATGTTTGCCTTATGTAACCCTCTGGAGTTTAACATCACAAAAGATTTCCTTCAAAGTATAGGCCACTTTTGTGTATTAAAGTGAAACTTTGTGCAGAAAATGAGCTGAAAGAAGATGTTGTATAGTGTGTGAAGCAGTAAATCGGGCACAAATGTTACGAATCCCATAAGGACTTATGGTGGTTGGCCTTTCCATGGAAATAAATTGGCATTCCACAGCCCAGTGTGACCTGGCTGGAAGACTTTTCATACAGTACAGTACAATTCTCCTTGAATTATTTGGATTAGATCATCTCTCTTAATCAGTGTACATGTCTGCCCTATACCCAAATGTTTTACCGGGTTATTCACAAAAATGTGAAGGCTATGGAGAAGGCAGGAGAAGTGAACAATCTAGGCCAAAATAGCTGATTTGGAAAACTTCTCCAATTCAGCTCACTTTCCAGTTCAGCTATGTTGTCCTAGATTGTTCACTTCTCCTGCCTTCTCCAAACTCTTCACCCTTTTGTGAATAGTTCTGTCAGTTTACAGAGCTCCAACAGCAGATCAGTGCAGCACTTATGGTACCTGCTGCAAAGCTTTACATTACTTTGTTCTCAGTAAGGGTTACATTACTAAATTTACTAAGTAAATAAGGAACTCAAATAATCATTACAGTGCCAGTCTCATTCTGATAATCTCATTCTGTTTTTAATGTTGTAATACATTTTTCTGTTTTCCATAAGTCAGGTAACTGATGGAATGTTCCTTTCACTTGCTAGAGCTTCTCCAGTGTTGAAACTTTTATGAGCCTGTTTTCTCTGTTCAGCTCTCTGTCACATGCTGCAAACATATTGACCAGAACAGACTCTTTACATTACTAATCCATATACTGCATCATCGCTTCCAAGTATTGCACAAAGTTACATAGAACTGTGATCCCATGTTTGAGGGTTCATGGTCTCGTGAATGTCCATTCAGCTTCCCCCTTACCACATTAGACCAATAAGCTTGTGTATGTTTGATAATCCTTTGTTTTATCTGTCCAGTTATCAAAAAGATCATAAACTTTAATGGCAATGCCCCAGAATAAGTGACCTTTTACTCTTGTTCTGAGCTGGTAGGTGTATATGTTCTATAAACATAGGCTTACTCTACCACAAGTGTCTTTGTTTGTGGTGTATACTTTTATTTCGACATATAAGCTGTTAAAATACATCAATATATATTAGTGTATCAATTTTTAAAGACCCATATAAACGGTAGACATAAAAGCCATGTACTGTGTATAGTACAAAGAACCTTCTATAGCCCACCCATCCCTCCCATCATCACACTTAAAAACACATATCTGATAATATACATATGATAAAAAGCTCAACATGTAGGTGGCTTGAACTGTTTTTTACTCAACGCATTTTGTAGACTTGGCCTCCTTCAGGAGACGGCGGTATTAATGTGTTTACAAGTATTATCAACTAAAATCTGAGTCTTATCCTTTTGCAGAGAGGCTATCCAGATCACATGTGGGTCTGCAAGAGGAACAATTTGTACGTCTGCTTGTATTATTGTTCCAGCGCAGTGTTGAACTCAGAGAAAACATCCACATGATCTTATTGATATAATGATTGGAATTGGTGTCATGTAAGTATTCTGTAGGGATCCTTTACCTTGGCACTGTAGAGAAGTGAGAAAGTGGATCATTTGTCACATGTTGGGACAAACTTTGCTGAAACTCCACATTGAAGTTTAGACTGGCCACTTTGCTGGAACGTATGACGCATACTTATATGCCTAACAGCACAATGCAATGATGTACATAGCTTGGTTTGATTGGATTTTATTTGACTACCTACAGAACAATCATGGACAAGTGTTCAGAGGTTGATTTGATACAGATTAATATATTGACACAAGCAAAGTGGATGCAAGGCAGAAAAGTGTTCAGAGGCTGATCTGATGCACATTAATTTACTGACACAAACTGAGTGGAAGCAAGCTCGGAGATATGAGGCATGGATGGCATGGCATGGATGGATCCTGCATCGAGGTTGTGTAAGAAACCTTTAAAAGCTAAAACCTTCCTCTAAATATATAATTTAAAGTACACTGCAGTTAGGAACAGTTTATTATATATAAGCTGTGCAGTGCTTTCAGAAACACATGCTCTACACCTAAGAAGCTTAACATTCCAATGAAAATGTCTGAAAGTGAATGAAGAGGATTTGTGAATCAACTCTGATTATATATACACAGTATCTCTCAGAAGTGAGTACACCCCTCACATCTTTGTAAATATTTTATTATATAATTTCATGTGACGACACAGAAGAAATGACACTTTGCTACAATGTAAAGTAGTGAGTGTACAGCTTGTATATCAGTGTACATTTGCTGTCCCCTCAAAATAACTCAACACAGCCATTAATGTCTAAACTGCTGGCAACAAAAGTGAGTACACCCCTAAGTGAAAATGTCCAAATTGGGCCCAAAGTGTCAATATTTTGTGTGGCCACCATTATTTTTCAGCACTGGCTTAACCCCCTTGGGCATGGAGTTCACCGCTGCACAGGTTGCCTCTGGAGTCCTCTTCCACTCCTCCATGACGACATCACGGAGCTGGTGGATGTTAGAGACCTTGCGCTCCTCCACCTCCTGTTTGAGGATGCCTCACAGATGCTCAATAGGGTTTAGGTCTAAGCATTTCACTTACAAGCTTGCTGTCCCTGCCAGACGTGCTTTAATAAGATCTGCTACTTGTTCTACTAGCATGTGGTTTCTCCTGCCATTCTACATCATGTTTTGCTCCAGGACTGGAATGTGTAAGAGTCCCTGGAACTCACCTGGTGGTTCATATAGTACCTACAGCATTAATCCTTGCTCAGACTGTCAATCAAGCTCAGAATGTAGTTGTGGCCAGGCCAACACCTGAGCATGAGCTTCATTTCCAAGATCCAGTCCATGTTATTTTCTACGTTCCTGTATCTCCATTTACTGACTTCAGTTTGTATCTAACTAGTCTGGTTTGCTGCCCGTCCTATGGTTTTGACTGTCCCTGTTGCTGATATTGGTTGTCAACTGTGCTCCGGTTCTTTTCCTAGTCAGCTGCCATCTGCACCGGTGTGTATAAAAGCTGCAGCCTTGTACACCCAGCATTTAAAGTTCATCACTTCCTGCAGACTGCTCTGGTGAAAATCAAATGTGTGTGCTCCCTTAAGGAGGAGGAGACAATGGCAGCATTAGGAGCTCAGACAAATGACTGAGATGTGGACTTGATGAAGAGGAAGAGGAGAAGGAGAAGGAAAAAGGTGCACTAGCAGGTCCAAAAGTTGAGGGTTTAGCTTTATTTTTGTATGAGTAAACTTTCCTATAGTTTTTAGATTAGTTGCGGCTCCTACTTCCACTGGTAAATTCAGGCCTATTACTGGTGGAGAGAGAATCAGGTGTTGCAGCAAAAACTACCTTTTCTTTTTAAGTTGTAATAAATCGCATTGAGGTGCTACTGCTGTATTTAAGTAAAATTACACATGCCAAATGAATGAAAACAATTACACATGCCAAATATGTGATCCCATAATATGGTCACTGACGCTGTCTGTGACAATTGTACTGTTCTGTAACACCACATAAAGCTTAAAGGCAGTACATGTTCCCTAAGGCAGTGCACAGCTCCCCATTTATATGAGAATTCCTTGCATATTAGCTTTGAAAATGGCCAGAACTCATTTTTTTATATTTGCCCCTATAGACTTTATTGGGGCTTGGCATTAAGTTCACAATTTTCAGACTTCCCTCCCGATGGGTGTAACAAGCGCCCCGTGAACCAAACCCAGACACATTCGCTCATCCCCATCTATACTACACTACTGTTGGAAAGTTAACACGTTGCAATAGATATTAGTACCAGTTGAATTATACCAGCCCTCAGACATGGCATATCTTGTGGCAGAGAAGAAGTACTGCAGACAAGATCACTGGAATGAGAGTGAATATTGCAACAAAAGCTGCTTTTTAAAATTTTATATTTAAATTGGCCATTCTTTTTTTTCTTGTTATTTTTGGCTGACATTCTGCTTTAAGTAAATGAAACATGACAGTAACATGGACGCTACCAGTGATTGTGTCTGCTGTGTGGTTATAATTCTGTCCCTCTTGTATCAGCATTGTATCACCAAAAATTAAAAATATGCAAAAAAGACTACTGTATTTCTCTGATTTTCTGGATCTGCGTTCTTATTCCTGGTCAGTGACTCAAAGAATTAAAGCCAGCAGGTCAGCATATTAGCCAGGCAACTAGCCTTTTTAAGAAGGAGGTCAGCCCCTTCTTATGATATGACAAAAAGTTTGCCCTACATAGATCCTGATGTGCTTCTTTTTCATTTTGATGTAGCTTCCTGTTAGTTTAACTTTAGTTTAAAAATAATCTTATTTTGTCCACAAACTAGCTGAATGCTTAGCTGAAAAAAGAAAACATTCCCCATGAATGTCCCCGTGTAGTTAATCTCTCTCTATCAAGAACCATGTAAGTTACTTATTTTCTTATTGTTTACTAAGTCAATAATCTGAATCAGCAGGTTTCTCATTATATAGGTTCTGATTGGCACTCACTCTTCTTTCCAGTATATATTCTCCAGCTCAGCGCTTGCCTTATTTATCTAGCAAATTACCAAGGAAGCCACAGCTAGAATGGCTTATTATAATACATTAGTGCTACTGACAATCTTCATTTTCTCTGATGCATTCCACTGGGTAAGTGATTGTGATGTTAATAATGATGTAATTACATAAACATGTACGGTAGCAATGTACAACGGCACTTCAAGTATTTATTTGTTTATATTGTACATTCATATACAGGATAGATAGATAGATAGATAGATAGATAGATAGATAGATAGATAGATAGATAGATAGATAGATAGATAGATAATTAGATAGATAGATGTTTTCTTTTTCTTGAATGATTCACTGTAATGTGTGCTTTGCAGCTATTTTTATTCATGTTGGAAAATACTTTCTAAAGTACACATAAAATAACATGAAATTATTGTACATTTGTGACTACAAAATATAGTCTGTCTTTCTTTTGTGTGTCATTTGTTTATATTGTAAGGTTCATTTCCTTTCTTAGTTTCAACTATACTTCCAATATTACTAATATTTTCGATGAGATGTTATTTTCTGTCCCTGAAACTTTTAACCTTGCTGGGCACATAATTTACACAATTGACTAATATTGTGGCTTCTGATTTTAGTCATATGGCTTTATTTCATGATCTTATAGTGTATTTATTATAAACATCCTGTCACTTGCTTTACTTTGGGGCTGTGTGGACTCAGGGAACCTCTACACTGCTGGCAGTGTGGTTCAGCTTCACCTTCAAGAAATGTAGCATTACATTGTAACATTCATCCAGACCCTGACAGGCTGGGCACAAAGATGCTAGGCAATTAGTGAGCTGGAATGTGTAACTCCTCAAAGCAATTCTTCCTCATTAACATTTCTTCATTTAACATTCTAAAGTTGTTGGTTTCCAGGTGCAGTGGGACCAAATACAGAAGTTTAAGTACACATATACAGGGGTCTTAGATTAGACCTGAACTCAAAAAATGCAGATTTGTTATGTTATAGGAAACATCTGCAAACTGTGCAAAACGGCAAAACTTTTTTTCATAGTTTTGGATGAAGTTGGGGTATGTTTGAGCCCCTGTCAAGTTTTTAGTGCTGCCTGTGTCCCCGCTGAGGAGATTCACCCTCTTTCTGTGTTCTTCTGATCACTGTCACCAGAGTATTAATACAGGGTGAATATTCCAATTGGGACACTTGTTCTGGTCTAAGAGGGGGAAAAATTCCCTTTACTTAAAGTTATACTAAATTCAGGAGGTAAATCTTAAAATGACATTCAAGTACCTTAACGATTAACAAAAATGTATCTTATCTGTGTACCACTCAGCTGTAGATCCTCAAATCATCTCTGAATTGGTGCTGACACTGTCCTTCCTTCTGGAGGGTGGCTACTTTTGTTCCCCATGGTCCCTGTGCGGGTTGCAAAGTAGCCACTGCTCCAAGCTCCCTCCTGTGATGGACTACAATCTCAGTACAAACTTGAAAACTATGAGATTGTAGTCCATCACAGGAGTGAGCTTGGAACAGTGGCTACACAAATAAGCTACATTTTTGTTAATCGTTAAGGTACATGAATGCATTTCTAAGATTTAACTCCTGACTTTAGTGTCACTTTACTTGCTTATTGATTTCCTCTCGCTTCCTGTTTTGTCTATAAGGCAGGAAAGGGAAATCTTTACAATAGGACGGTATTGGGTTAAATTAGTGTTCTCTGGAAAATTAAAGTTAATACAAAGTTTTGACCTTAAATATACTTTATGTGGACTCCTCCACCTTTTTGTATTTTAGAAAGTTTCTTTAGTAACAGAAACATTTGCAGCACATCGATAAGCCAAGAAAAAATGCTAAAGAGAAGATCTGCATGCCATTTCTGCACTGTTCAGCCAAACAAATCAATTTGCCATTGTGTCTGCAGATCTGCTTTGTAAAAAAATATTGTATAGCTTTTCACAGGTAATCCTTAAAGAAGAGTGAAATACCAAATGTTGGCCACTAGATGGAGCTGAAGATCATAAGAAATAAATAGATGTTAGTAAATAAATAAAGATGGAGAGTATGAGCATATAAATATTACCATTTCTATCCCATAGCAGCAATTGTTACATTTATATGCTCATCCCCTCAAGCGTTCTCTAGAATTGTGACATTGTATATCGTAACATGTATTTATTTCCTATGCTCCTCAGCTTCATCAAGTGGCCACAATGCGATATTTTCCTGATTCACACATAGAATAATATTACACCAGAAGAGAAAATACACTAAAAACATTTGATTGTGTACCATTCTCACAATAGCTGGTTAATGAGCATGGTTGTACCTGCAGTTTGGCTGGATGAATAAGCTATGCAAATGTTTTTTTATAAATAGACCCCCTACAGCAAGGGTATCCAAACCTCTATTTGTAAAACTGCAAATCCAGTGAGGCATTGCAACACTGACAACCAGGCATGATTCCCAGAGACAGATGCATGATGTGTTTTGCAGTTTGACCACAGCTGGAGGGCTGAAGTTTGGCTAGCTTGGTCCTAGAGTCTAATTACTGCTATGTAAATCATCTGGTTTAAAGGATATTGTGCACACAGCCCGGCTTATTCATCACCATGAAAGAAAATCCATTTCTTCTCGTTTTAAGGCACAAGGCACGCATGGGGAAGCCGATTCAAAGTGTCCTCTGGCGGTAAAGGTTCTAGATGCTGTGAGAGGAATCCCAGCAGCCAAGCTGCCTGTAAAGGTGTTTAAACAGAATGAAAATAAGAGCTGGGATCTGATCTCTTCTGGGTGAGCCAGCCACTTCAACCTTATAAATGAATAAATAAATACATGTGTTATGCCAGTGTACTTCCTCTGTCACAGCACAAATATCACTTTGTATAAAAAAAGGAAAACGCAGCATACATTTAGGTATTACACATTACAGTAAGGCATATTTTGTTTTCCAGAATTACATCCACTGACGGGGAAATCCATAACCTCACTACTGAAGAACAGTTTGTAGAAGGACTTTATAAGCTGGAATTTGCCACAAAACGATTTTGGAGTAAGCTTGGTCTTTCCCCATTCCATGAATACGTTGATGTAAGTTGATGTTTTGAGGTTACTAATGACCCAGGAGATTCACCAAGGTGTATGCTATTATCATAAGAAAAAGAAATCCCTGCTTCTATGAGGTTTACATAGAAATATGGAAGCTGCATGTGCTGACTTGGTTTTGACGGTGCACGTTCCAAAGCAATACACGTGATCCTTAAATCACCAATACATTTTCTAAATTCCCAGAGCTGGTAGTTTTTCACATTAGGCTCCTAGCATACAGAAGCAGTATGAATAATGTAGCTGGCTACAGTGGCGTAACAATCGCCATAGCGACCCAGGCAGCCGCTATGGGGCCTGGGGCACAGGGGGGCCCGGCCAGATGCCGAGCGGACCGCCTGGGTCGCTATGGCATCCTCTGCTGGTGGCTTTCATTGGCGGCTCTGAAGAGGAACACGCCGCTGTTCAGACCACTGACAGTAATCTGTGCAGCAGCGCGTTCGTCTCCACAGCCGCTGCCGAGTCAATGAGAGCCAGCAGCGGCGGTGGAGGATTCCAGACCCGGCAGTGGAGGAGGAGGCGGGGCCCGTGGTCGACAGCAGGGGAGGAGGCGGGGCCCGGTGATGGAGAAGTAGGCGGGCCCGGCGACGGAGGAGGAGGCGGGGCCCATCAGCGAGCCTGGAGCAAGAGGAGGCGGACAGGTAAGGAGTGCGACCAGCCCACCTGAGGGTGACCCTGCAGAG